AAAAAATTTTGGCCTAAAAAATTTTGGTCAAAAAAATTTTGGCCCTAAAAAATTTTGACCCAAAAAATTTTGACCCAAAAAATTTTGGTCAAAAAAATTTTGACCTAAAAAATTTTGGCCTAAAAAATTTTGGCCTAAAAAATTTTGGTCAAAAAAAATTTTGACCCAAAAAAATCTTGGTCAAAAAAATTTTGGTCAAAAAAATTTTGACCCAAAAAAATTTTGGTCAAAAAAATTTTGACCCAAAAAAATCTTGGTCAAAAAAATTTTGGTCAAAAAAATTTTGGCCCAAAAAAATCTTGGTCAAAAAAATTTTGGTCAAAAAAATTTTGACCCAAAAAATTTTTTTGACCAAAAATTTTTGAAAAAAAAATTATGGAAAAAAAAATTTTGGTCAAAAAAATTTTGGGAAAAAAAAATTTGGTCAAAAAAATTTTTGGACAAAAAAATTTTGGGGAAAAAATTTTGGGGAAAAAATTTTGGTCAAAAAAATTTTTGGACAAAAAAATTTTGGGGAAAAAAAATTTTGGTCAAAAAAATTTTGACCCAAAAAATTTTGGTCAAAAAAATTTTGACCAAAAAAATCTTGATCAAAAAATTTTGGTCAAAAAATTTTGGCCCAAAAAATTTTGACCCAAAAAAATCTTGGTCAAAAAAATTTTGACCCAAAAAAATCTTGGTCAAAAAAATTTTGGTCAAAAAAATTTTGGTCAAAAAAATTTTGGCCCAAAAAAATCTTGGTCAAAAAAATTTTGGTCAAAAAAATTTTGACCCAAAAAATTTTTTGACCAAAAATTTTTGAAAAAAAAATTATGGAAAAAAAAATTTTGGTCAAAAAAATTTTGGGAAAAAAAAATTTGGTCAAAAAAATTTTTGGACAAAAAAATTTTGGGGAAAAAATTTTGGGGAAAAAATTTTGGTCAAAAAATTTTTGGACAAAAAAATTTTGGGGAAAAAAAATTTTGGTCAAAAAAATTTTGACCCAAAAAAATTTTGGTCAAAAAAATTTTGACTCAAAAAAATCTTGATCAAAAAAATTTTGGTCAAAAAAATTTTGGCCCAAAAAAATTTTGACCCAAAAAAATCTTGGTCAAAAAAATTTTGACCCAAAAATATTTTGACCCAAAAAAATTTTGGTCAAAAAAATTCTGACCCAAAAAAATTTTGGTCAAAAAAACTTTGCTCAAAAAATTTTAGTCAAAAAAATTTTTGGAAAAAAATTTTTGGTCAAAAAAATTTTGGAAAAAATTTTTGGCCAAAAAAATATTGTCAAAAAATTTTGGTAAAAAAAATTTTTGGTCAAAAAAATTTTGGAAAAATAATTTTGGTCAAAAAAATTTTTGGTCAAAAAATTTTTTGGAAAAAAATTTTTGGTCAAAAAAATTTTTGGAAAAAAATTTTTGGTCAAAAATTTTTGGTCAAAAATTTTTGGAAAAAAAATTTTGGTCAAAAAAATTTTTGGAAAAAAGTTTTTGGTCAAACAAATTTTTGGAAAAAAATTTTTGGCCGAAAAAATTTTGGAAAAAAAAATTTGGTCAAAAAAATTTTTGGTCAAAAAATTTTGGGCCCAAAAAATTTTGATCAAAAAATTTTTCAATTCTTCTTTCAATCTTTCAATTTTCATTTTGGGAAATAAAAATTTTGGTCAAAAAATTTTTGGGCCAAAAAAATTTAGGTCAAAAAAATTTGGTCAAAAAAATTTTGACCCAAAAAAATTTTGGTCAAAAAAATTTTGACTCAAAAAAATCTTGATCAAAAAAATTTTGGTCAAAAAAATTTTGGCCCAAAAAAATTTTGATCAAAAAATTTTTCAATTCTTCTTTCAATCTTTCAATTTTCATTTTGGGAAATAAAAATTTTGGTCAAAAAATTTTTGGGCCAAAAAAATTTAGGTCAAAAAAATTTGGTCAAAAAAATTTTGACCCAAAAAAATTTTGGTCAAAAAAATTTTGACTCAAAAAAATCTTGATCAAAAAAATTTTGGTCAAAAAAATTTTGGCCCAAAAAAATTTTGACCCAAAAAAATCTTGGTCAAAAAAATTTTGACCCAAAAATATTTTGACCCAAAAAATTTTGGTCAAAAAAATTCTGACCCAAAAAAATTTTGGTCAAAAAAACTTTGCTCAAAAAAATTTTAGTCAAAAAAATTTTTGGTCAAAAAAATTTTGGAAAAAATTTTTGGCCAAAAAAATATTGTCAAAAAATTTTGGAAAAAAAATTTTTGGTCAAAAAAATTTTGGTCAAAAAAATTTTGGTCAAAAAAATTTTTGGTCAAAAAATTTTTTGGAAAAAAATTTTGGTCAAAAAAATTTTTGGAAAAAAATTTTGGTCAAAAATTTTTGGTCAAAAAATTTTTGGAAAAAAATTTTGGTCAAAAAAATTTTTGGAAAAAAGTTTTTGGTCAAACAAATTTTTGGAAAAAAATTTTTGGCCGAAAAAATTTTGGAAAAAAAAATTTGGTCAAAAAAATTTTTGGTCAAAAAATTTTGGGCCCAAAAAATTTTGATCAAAAAATTTTTCAATTCTCCTTTCAATCTTTCAATTTTCATTTTGGGAAATAAAAATTTTGGTCAAAAAATTTTTGGGCCAAAAAAATTTAGGTCAAAAAAATTTGGTCAAGAAATTTTTGGCCCAAAAAATTTTGGTACAAAAAATTTTGATCAAAAAAATTTTGGGAAAAAATTTTGGTACAAAAAATTTTTGGAAAAAAAATTTTGATCAAAAAATTTTTGGCCCAAAAAATTTTGGTCCAAAAAAATTTGGGAAAAAAAATTTTGGTCAAACAATTTTTTGGAAGAAAATTTTTGGTCAGAAAAATTTTGGGAAACAAATTTGGTCAAAAAAATTATGGCCCAAAAAATTTTGGTCAAAAAAATTTTGGCCCAAAAAAAGTTTGGTCAAAAAAATTTTTGGAAAATAATTTGGGAGAAAAAATGTTTGGGACATCTGTGGCATATTTAGTAAACTTTAGAAAATAAGATGCAGTTTCGACATTTTCACTTATACTGTGCTTAGCTTGGCAGCATTTTCACATTTTTCAATAGTTTTCACAAAATTGGAAAATCGCTCCAGTACATAAACAGTCTAAACGCAGAAAGTTCTTTGAATCATTTAAATCGGGCGCTTAGTTCTCTCAAAAATTGCCATTTTTTTCAACATTTAGCTCTATCTCCGAAACCGCTGGGCCTACCTTTGCCAAAAACTAATAACCACTTTTCCCTGTCATTGCGAACTGAGTGTTTTTTGGATCATACAAATCGGATGATCCGTTCTCTCAAAAACTCGATTTCTATTTTCTGCACTCTTTGATTCATATCTCTATAACGGCTGGACCTGCCTTTGCCAAAAACTAATCAGCACATCTCCCTATCAATAGGAATCGAATGTTTTTTTTAACCATTCAAATGGGTTGATCCGTGCGCCCGAAAACGTGTACGAAAAAATGCGGACATACAAAACACACACACATCCATTTTTTCTGAGGTATGCCAGTAAAAAGTTCAGAAACTTTCAAAA